TATCAATTATTTTTCAACTTATGGAATGGCTTTTGGTTGGAGCACTCATGGAAAACTAGCATGTCTATACTACATAGAAAACAATAAGACATTCATGCCAAAAAACGGAGGTAAAGCTGCTTTTTTTATTGTCACCGTCGTTTATTGCCACCAAATCATAGGTATAGAAAGAACAAAAAGGATCTCTTTGTTAATAGAGTTGAAAAGGATGTTGCACCCCTGCATATTTCTAGTAAAGAATTGCATCATGTTGTATTAGAGTACGATGACATTGTATTTGGTCTCCAATTAGGTAAGCAGAAGTTTCCTGGTTTTGGTTTGACCCATAGTTGGGTAAAACGACGTATCTTTTAGGAGCTTCCGTATTTGAAGACCAATCTCCTCCGCCATAACCTTGATGTCATGCACATAGAAAAGAATATGTTTAAGAACATTTTCAACATCATTATGGTTATAAAGGGGAAGACAAATGACAACATCAAGGCTAGATTGGATATAGCTTTGTTTTATAACCCCAGATATCACAAGAAAACAAAATAAGTTTTTTGAAAATTTTAAAATACTGGCCTAGTTCTCGTGACTTTAATAAACTGGTTATTAAAGCCAACATCCATGGTAAAACCCTTTTTTCATGAAAATATACTATGATTTTTGTTTTTTTTTTTTATCTTTGAGAAACTCAGCTGTTACAAGAAAGCAAAACACATTTTTTTTCAATTTGCAATGTTTTGAAAAAATCAGGTATTTTAATAATGTATTTATATCTTTACAGTATAAAAATACAAACCAATACTAAGCAAGATTTAGTAAAACAATTTGCGAAAAATCATAGATTTTTTTGAAATAATTTTTGACTTTTTTTTTTTGAATAGACTAGACCCGACCCAAAAAAGTTGAGATGAGATCAGCCTAATAAAATGCAAACTACCATATATTGGGCTGGACTCAGCCCAGCCACATGGACTTGGCTGAGTCAACCCGGACTAGTTATTGTGCCCATGCACAGTAACCAACCCCAAATACAATTACTCGTTACTGTGCTCATGTACAGTAACAGGGTAATTATTTCTTTTTGCTTGCAGAAACATGCACAATGCACGTTCTGCATGAAAAAAGATGAAATGAGAAATGAAGACAAAGGGAAGAGAATTACTTGGAATGGAAGCATTGTCGTTTATGGTGCTGGTGGCTCACAATGGCGTTGGCGTCGCAGAAGTCGGTTGTGGTGGTGGCTGAAAAGGCCGGTGGCGTCGCAGAAGTCGGTTGTGGTGGTGGCTGAAAAGGCCGGTGGCGCTCTTGTTTTTCTTCTTCTTACTCGTCATGGGTGCCAACCTCTATATTTTTCCTTCCTCATCTGCTTTTGTTTGGTTCTTCTCCTTTTGGTCTTTAGTGGGTGGAGTTGCTGGTGGCTTTCAGATGGTGCGGTGGGGGTTGCTGACTGGTGGAATTGTTGTAGGGGGTGATGGTGGCTCTTCTCCTCTTTGTGCAAAGGCACGCGCCTCTATTTTTTTTTTTTTTTTGATCAATACTCCCTTCTTAGTCTTTTTGTTTGCTAATTTTGTTTTCGATACAATCTTCTCAGTGGCGGTGTTGTGGTAGTGGTGGAAAGTAAGAACAATGGTGGTTCTCCTTTTTCCTTCCTTCTACCTCTGTCATTTTCTCCCCCCTGTCTCTTTGTTTTTTTTTTTTTCATTCTTTTCAAAAGATTCCCCTCCTTCTGGCATCTTCCCTCCTGTGTCTGGTCCCTCCTCTGTCTTTTATAGCCAGAGGATGCATGCATTATTGCATGAACATAGTAACAGCCGAAGTGTATTAGCTGTGAAACGTTCCCCATAATTGAAGCAATCTGCGGCTTTTGTTGTTGAAACAATTCCTTTATCTATTGAAATGGCTCCTGAAGAAGAGAATGAATAGTGCCTCTGAAACGGCACCATTTTCCTATTCAAAATGTATATTTTTGATTTTGTCATTGGAGTTTTGTATTTTTGTAATCAAGCTCCCCAGATAAATTGTAATTGGATCCCTTGATTTTAGCGCCTTTTATGGTTTGGTCCTTGGTTTCGGATTATTCAATCAAGTCCCTAATTAGCCATCAAACTTCAATAATTATGCAATTAAACCCCTATTTTGACTAAATCAATTCTTGAAAATTGTAATTTGACCCTAGAACTTTAATTTCTTCCAATAAAATCCTAAATTGACTTAAAAATCAATTTTTTCTTGCAATCAAACCCTTCATAAATTCAATTAAACCTTAGATAAAAATTTAATCCTAAATGCTAATTTAATGAAATGAAGTGATAAATAAAAAGTGTTTATCCATGAACTTGTTTATGAAACTAAATGGGTATGTGAATTAATAAATATGATGAATGGATAAAAAAGACTTAAGTACTAATTTAGGATGTTCGATTAGAATGCAGGAAAAACATTCAGAGTAGCACACTACTTCTCAAGAACATGTATAACAAGAGTTCAAGGTAAGGGTCACCCCCCTACTTCTCTAAATTGTTTAAATTCTTGTAATGCTAGTATGTGATAGACATTATGCATATTTTGTACTACTATGTATCATGAAAAAAATTGCTATGTGAACATTACCTAAGAGTAGTATAAATATTGTTGCATGAAAGATATAAACAAGTATGAGAAATATTATTATTGTGTGAAAGTTGTCAATGAGTAAGAAATGTTATTATTGAGTGAATATTACCAACAAGTAGGAGAAATATTATTGTTGTGTGAATGTTGCCAATGAACAATAAATATTATTATTGTGTAAACATTGCCAATAAGAAGAAGAATATTCTTATTGCGTGAATGTTGTCTATGGACATGAAAAGTATTTCGTTAAAATGTTGCCAACAAGCAGGAAAAATACTATTTATATGTCAATGCTGTGTTGCTAATGGGAAGGAGAAATGTAAATACTAATTCTATGTGAATGTTGCCTGCGAGCAGTGAAACAAATTGTGAAAATCAAAAGTTGACTAACAGACTTGTTGATGGCTAATGACATCCATGTTGGGATGACCGAGAATGATTAATGAGATTAACTTTGGCTAATAGCATCTATGTTGGGATGACCGAGAATGATTGATGGGATTAGTTTTGACTAATAATATCTATGTCAGAATGTATAGGACTATTTTAAATAGTCGAAACTAGACAAAGAAATTAATTGATATATATCAGTATCCAATTACGATAATTAAGAATGTCCAAAATGATTCATGATAATCACCTAAATTTGGTATTGAAAAGTTAAGGGATTCCTACATAAAATGAGGAATAGCATATATGTCCATTATATGTATTGCATTAAAAATTTATGTCTTGTTTCTTTTGTTTGGTATGCTCATATAAATTTAACATTGTAACAAGATCTTCTCACAACCAAGATGCCTAGTAGTCCCTAGAGCATTACCTTTACTAAGAATATGTAATGAATGCGGTACTCTTGTGTAAATTTTAATGTATAATGTCTTAAAGCAAAGATAATAAAATATGTGTAATTTATGGCTTTAGATCGTAAATAGATTTGTAGATTTATGCTTATGAACAAAGAGATGTTATTTCTAGTGCATATGTAATAGCTAGTTAAGGTTTTTTTAATAAGGGTAACATGCTCATTAAACTTTAATGTAAATTTCCTTATTTAAAATTTTGTTTATATAATGTTTAGTTAAATACCTATGCTTGTATGATATGTGGAAAAATCTCATTGAGATGATATTGGAAGAATGCATCATGATTCCAAGAAGGTTGAATCAAGGATTGTGAAATGGTTTTGGAAAGTGAACAGGTTTGTGTTGATAACCCAATATCGTTCAAGTTTAGGAAAGCTCTACTGTGTTTTTGATTGAACATTTGATAGCACAATGTGGACTGAAATGACATTACACCTAATAATAATCATGTGTATTCATCTTACTGTGTATGTATAAGTGCCAAAAAAAAATTACCTATATTTTTATGTGCCAAATTATAGAAAAGGAACTATAAACGTATATGAAAGGGTGGGGTGTTACACATACATAAACACATTTGAATAAAAAACACTAACAAAAATTCAAAATATCAAAATCAAGCTTAAGATACTAAATCTAAAACAACAATAACTTAACACAACCTATATATTCATGTGACATGGATTTAAAATTGACTTATTAAACTCGTTTTGTCAACGAGCATGCATAGCAAAGCCAAGGTAAACACCCTTAAATATACATAAAAAAACTTAAAAAATCAAGAAACAAGTATCAAGACTTCAGAAATAAAAACACTAAATGAAAAACACAACAACAAATAGGTGAATGCAACATTATTTGTTAAGCATTCCAAAACTATTTGCAATGCTTATAATCATAAATATATAATAAAAAATAAATAAAATACAATAAAAGCAGACCACAAGGGTCTACTTTTAGATCAGAAAGGTATTTAAAATAGCTTCTCCTTTTTTTACCCATTTTCTTTTGATCTCAGGGTGTATTCATATGGTTTTTAGAGGATTTTAAATCTATTTTTAACCTTTGATTTTATATTAGGGTTCTTTAAATTGAATTTTCTAATATTCTTGATAAACAAATTTACTATATTTTCTGCAATAATTTTGCTATTTTTTTAAGCATAATCTTTATGATAATTGTGGATAGTACATATATTACGTGAATGTTCTTAACCACAATATTATATGTAGAAAATTATTTGATCACCACGACGAAAACAAGTTTTGTGGGATGGCTAGCTAAGCAAAGTGACACCAAAGCGTTTAGCCTATACAGTGGAGAGCCATTGTACATGAGCTGGACTAGGTTCTCCTAGATAAAAAAAATTTAAAAATTTATGGTTTTCTCGCATATTTTAACATCATTTTGATTAATATTGATTTGTATTTTTATACTGTAAAGATACAAATTTGATATAAAAATACCTGATTTTCACCAAAACAATTACAAAGAAAAAACAAAACAAATGTCTTCTTTTTATGCATATAGTAAGTCTCTCAAAGATTAAAAAAAAAAAAAAAGTCATATTGTATTTTCATATAATAAAAATTAAAAAAAAAACATGTTAGCATGCATTTTGGCTTTCATAACCATTTTATTAAAGCCATGAGCACTAGGCCAATATTTCAAAAATACCTAAAAAATATTTTTTTTTCTTTTACTATCTAGGATTATGAATTCATATGTAAAATGTAATCCTGATATTAAAAAGATAATTCTTTTATAAACATTAGAACAATTAGGATTTTACTTGATAAGATAAGAAACTTCTTAAATTATAAACGGTCCAATAATTAGAAATATTATAGTATCTTAGCATATATTAGACAATCAAACAATGTGGATTATTTTAGGTAGAGCGTATTTGAGATACTAATGCCTTTCATTTACGCAACCGATCTCCATGCTCGATCTTTGAGACTAATTAGGGTTTTTAGTGACCAAAATACTAGGTCATAACTCTCATTCTCTTTTTCTACTCATAAGATACAAGAATTCCCCCCCCTCCCCCCCAATTTTTCCAGATACTAAAACCATAAAATGGATGTTCGCTGAGACACCACACACGTGCGACTTTATCGATGTTGATTGGATGGGGAGTATTGATTATTAGAAATCTATTGGTGGCTACATTATCTTCCTTGGCACCACTCCCATCTCATGGAAATCTGGTACGCAACGCACTATTACTCGCTTCTTTACTAGACCATAATATAAGGCCTTAGCAGATGAAACTGCTGAGATTCTTTGGCTCCGTTATTTGCTTTCAAATTTATCACTGAAATCAAAATTTAATGAACCCGAACCAAATCATATTTTGATATATAGTGTATAGAGACGACAAACTCTTTTTCGATCTTTCATCTTCTTTATCATCTTCATCTTAACAACGCACATATGCACATAGAGAATGAGAGAGAGATATACTAGGGAATTCTTGAGTAAAAGTGTCCCACATGCTCTAACCATTGCAACGTTCATTTTCATCACCCTCATAATTGAGATTATAATACAGATTTACATACCCGATTTGAATCTCTATGTAATTTTGTCGGTAAAATCGCCTACAAAAACTTCCACTTCATTGCACTGCTTTGTTCTTTAAAATTCTTTATATTCTCTATAGGATTCTGTCAGTATATATTGATACAATAATTTTATTAATATGTATCGACAGATTTAAATCGATTGGTAAATATTACTGCAAATTACCGACACAAAAATTTCATCAGTAATTCATATGATATTTGTTGAATTTCTAGTGGGGTACAAGCCTACAACGTTTAATATCCTAATATCCTACAATAGCTATCATTTGTTAAATATCGACTCCCAATAGATATCCATGTCAGTAGAAAACCAAACTTACTCATCATATATTAGGGTTCTCTAAATGTAATCTTCATCTATTACTGAAAAACAAACTTACTCATCATGATCGTTATGGATAGTTCATATATTATGTGAATCTTCTTAACTACAATAAATGTAGAAAACTGTTTCAACAAGTAAGCAACGTGGTCCCGAAGCTTTTAACCTATACGAATATTATTTATGTTATAGCCAGCATGCGCAAGTTTGAATTAATACAAGGTAGCAAATAATACAAATCCTTTCTCCCTACAAATCTATGTTCTATATGCATTCTTTCAACTCATCAATAAAATAATTGTAGTGAGTTTAGCAGTACCTATCTTAAAATAAGATGATAAATATTTATTATTTTCTTCTAGATTGAGATGAGGAAATATTTTAATTGATGGAATCTTACAAACTATTAAGCACGAGTAAATCAAAAGCTCAAAACCTAAAGGACAACTCTCTATAATTTGTAGTTTTGTCGAACAACATGTGCACGTTTAATTATTAGAACAACTAATCCAAATGTTTACACCCTTTCAAGACATGAACTAGAAGACAAAGCATTGGGCTAACTAATACTGATCTCAACAATGAAGATCACTAAATTTCTATCAACTCAATAAATTTTTAAATCTCATACAGTTTCTAGTGCAAGAAAATAGGAATAATTTAATTTTTTTGACAGTTCATAAGAAAATCGTCATTTTATAGTAGGAAATGTAATCTCATTTTAAATGACCGATTCTAAGCTTCACAACTTGAATTTTATTTGGAAGGTTTAGCTAGTAGTTCTATGCAATTTTTATTTTTGTGTTTCAAAAGCACATTAAAAAAAACATACAAATTTCATTTTTTTCTTTTCATTAAATTAATATTTTTTTTGATGTTTTGATAATATTTTGATTTGTTGATGTCAAATTAATTTTTTTAATTATTTTAATATATTTCTAAACAAAAAATATTTTCAAAAATAATTACTATCATGCTGCTAAATACTCTCTTAGTTGAAGTTATTTATATAATAGACTATTTTGTTTGAGCTCACCAGTTATTACATGATTAATTAACTATTAAAACAATTTTCGTTTCAAAAGAATATAAATTATTTATTTATATTTAGGAGATTTAAATTTTTTATGTTCATTGATCAGATCATTTATAACCTATTAAGCACGAGTTAAACACTTTTGCGGGATCAATCAAGTGAGAAAGTGGTGCAAGCTGCAAGAGCTCAAAACCTATATGACAACTCGTTGCCATAACACTTTAATTTTTAGTTTTGTCGGATATCAGGCGAGAAAAACACTACAATTTGTATTTTTGTGGAAATTTTTAATTAATTGTAACAAATAATTCAAATGCTAGGGCTCCATATAAATATATGCTCTCCATGCGTTGTTTCAACACAACATCATCAAGACACAATATTGAGATAACTAATACTCATATTCAACAAATATGAAGATCACTAAATCTCTAGGGCTCTCTTTCCTTCTCTATGCCTTCGCAGCAACTTCATTTCCTGAGGCTGTTCATGCCGAAGACCCTGCAGTGCTCGATTTGTTCGGTAATGAGGTGCAAGCTGGTTCTCGCTAGGTAATCGTAGCCCCCTCGACTGACAATACAACAACTCTTGCGGTCACTGCGACTAGCAAGATCATATGCAATTCTGATGTTATACTTTCCACCTTGAACGAGAGCCTCCCAATAATATTTTCACCAGTTATAAAATCCAAGGATGTTGTCATCCGCGAAGGAACTTATCTAAATGTGAACTTTGATGCACCCATATGTCTGATGGTGGGCGTGACAACGATGTGGATGGTTGAATTGAGTCCAACAACGGAAGGATACATTGTGACCACCGGAGGCGTTGATAGATTGAATCAGTTTAAGATTACCAAGTATGAAGGGGACAATATATTTTATCAGCTTTCTTTTTGTCCAAAGTCCGAACCCTTCGGTGAATGCTCATGCGTCCAGTGGGCGTCAACAGTGAACAGTACTTGGCTCCCAATGTCGACCCTCTTCTTGTTATGTTTGAACCGGATGCATAGAGAGCACCTAAAATGGTGTCAGAATGATATTGAGGGAAGTCGATTGCCTATTATCATGTTTGAACCAGAACTGTTATCTACTGCAATCCTGTGTGAGGGATCTAGAATGCCTACTATCAGGTGTTGGGCATAAATAAAACATTAATAAATAAGAAGCTTTTTAGCTTTGGCTTTTTCTTAATTTTCATGTTCACAAATTTTTTATTTTCGTATGTGTGATTGGTCAGTTAATCAATTTATATTAATATTAACAAATATGTAAAATTTATTAAAATCGACATATTTTTAAGTACACAAACTAGATTAAGGCTGGGCCATATTTTCATGTTTTTCCAGAAAATGTTCATATGTTGACGTACACAAACAACTGTCGTCCATTTTTTTTTTAATAATATTTGTATTGGGCAATTCATTATGTTTCCGGGAGAAATCTCATGGAATCTATGTGTCAATACACTTTTATTCCTAATATAACTTATGATTAAGTTGTACGAGGTAATGCACAATATTTAATGTAATGTATATAGTTAGTGTAGAGATTACAATATAGAAATAGTAAATCTTTTCCTGAACATATACAAGCATATAATGTGTAATATCCTAATATCGTATAATACATACTCTCAAGCTCATGGTGGATATTCAATTTAAAGCTTCAATGTTATTATTTATTTTTGAGGGGCTACAAATACAAAAAAATAAAAGAGGAAGGGGGGGAGGGGAGAAAATATAAAAAAATTAAAAGAAATGTTGGAAGAAAATAAAAAAAATACATGTCAATTGAGAAGAACATACCAGAACATCCAAGAAATTACAAAAAGATTGTTTGAGAAAGATTAAAATTGGATTTGACATTATATATTATGTTGCTTCTTTTTTCCCTGTGAACGCATAGGCAGGGGAGAAGGAGAATTTTTTTTTTCCTACTTTTTCTCTTTCTCCCCACTTGCCCAAACCCTGACAAAACTCACGCCCTTCGCCTGCCACTAGACAAAAAACCATCAACATTGTCTGTCCAATCTACATTTGTAAAACCATGTAAGGCAATCGTATATTGCTTACTTGATTTCCATGAAATCAGCATCTGAACAAAGAAAACAAGATAACCACCTATAGTTTTTCTATCCTCAACACTGTCTACCCAATCTGCATCTGTAATATGAAGGTGATGTGATGTCTTACCCTTAAGATAACACAATATGCGTTTAATAGCTACCCAATGAGAATTTGTAGGAGCATGCATAAATTGACAAACTTTGTTAACAACAAAGAAAATATCTAGGCACGTAAAAGTGAGACATTGAGGAGCACTCATAATTTGATAAAAAATATGTAGCATCAGAAAACAAGGGATCTGGTAGAATGGTAGCTTTGGATGTAGAGATAGGAGTATCAATAGGTTTGCAAGATAACATAGCAGCCCGAGTGAGGATGTGAAGTTTATATTTATGTTGTCGAAGCATAAGACCCATACTAGTAAGTTGAACCTTAATACCTAAAAAATAATGAACCGAACCCAAGTAGCGAAGTTTGAATTCGGAGCTCAGTAGCTGTATGAGGCGTTGGAGTAAAAGGGAGTTGCTACCCATAAACAAAATATCATCAACGTAGACTAGAATATAACAAATATCAGTACCAACAGAATAGATAAACAATGAGATATCCACCTTAAAGGCACGAAAACCAATAGATAATAGGAAAATATTCAGACGAGTGTACCAATCCCGTGGAGCTTGTTTTAAACTATAAAGAGACTTATACAAT